ATTCTTTTTCCCTTTCCAGCCTCCGAGCTTATTGATGTGAGATAAACTTTATCAGAATCCATGTTGACCTTCCTCTCTTTTGAACTCAGAAACATTGATTAACTTGTAAGTTATGTAGCAGTGGGCCAACTTAAATACTGCCCTTTTTGGTACTCGGTTTCCTGCTGACTGGCTATTTCAGCACCTGTAACTCCTTAAAAATCAGCTCAGCTAAAGGTGAGAGAATTACAAGAAATATAATTGGGCTTAGTCCCTTCATTCTTCAGCTCATGAAAATGCAAAATGTTACCCAAATGGTAAGAAAAAGATGATTCATTCTTTTCCAACAATCTTAGTGTAAGCTGTCAGCTGCTCCCTAATTAGCATTAGCAGCAAGCCAGACTAGCAGTAGCAAACCGCAGCAGGGCTAGCTGCAAGAAGTCAGAAAGAAAGCAGGTTGCTTGAGTCATTCTTCCATTGACAAACCTTTAAAGGAAAACTTAAGGCTCACACAAGGAAGGTACTGCTTCTCTGAGGTACATACTGAAGGCCTGACCTGCTGGACTTGCCCACTCACCTCCAAGTTGCCAAAATCACAGAGGGTAATTTGCCTCTTTGCTGCCCCAGATAAGGGCAAAAGGATTTCTCCCCTGCGTTTGCAGTATGGTCAAAAGCTGCACAAGATTTCTGTTTCATATCCTATCCAGAGCCAGGAATTCCAATAGAAAAGCAATGGCCACAATCTGTAAAGAAGTCAGTGTTCAAATGATTTTACTGAAGAAATAATTAGGCTGTTCACAGCATTTTAAGTCCTTCTGTGACCTCCAGCTAGAATTGAGCCAGGATGATACAAGTGTTAAAAGGACCCTAACACAAGCAGCTGCCAGTATAAAATGCTTCAGAAGATTTATATGCAAGTTATTGAGTCATAAGTATTACACTCAGGGCCACTGCAAACTGTGTTACCATTTCCCACTATGCCCACTGCTTCAAGTTGAGTTTTAACGAATTCCACCCGTCTTGCCTTTCAATCCTGAAGCCTAGTTAACAGGGTTCAAGAGACACTTCCTTACCAAGAAACTGGGCCAGAACGAATAACGCTGTGTATGGATAATACATTCCCTAAATGCTTTCAGCAAATTATTTCAAAATGCTGTTTTGATATCCTCCCTTTTCTTTAATGAGTACTGTTTGCTATTCACAACTAGGGCGTAAAACAGCGCAGCATGAACGGAAGCTTTTATAGTGCCGACATCACAGCTAACAAGAATTAGTACAAACACATTCTTTTTTGTGACATTACATTTTTAGAGTTCAATGGCCCTTATTATATCTCAGAGAAGATGCAGCTTCTCATGATTAGCCATGTGCATGATCTGGCATCAGAGTCAAAACTAGGTCAGTTATCTACATCCAGTAATTTCATCTCTTTAATGACAATTTCTTGATTTATTGGTTTTTTCAGTTGTTTTCTTTCAGAGGTGGGTTGGACGGGGCAATGACAGTGAAAACAGGGGCATGAGACAGCAGATGATCTTGTTACAAAAGCTACCAGACGTTATAAACAATTGCAAATATTTTGGAACGCCTGCCATAAATCAGTTATATCAGCATTCTGAGCTTCTCATCTACAGAAAACCAAACTTCAGAAGCAGTTCTTCTCTCAAACTCTTATTTTTCCATATACCTCATTTTCATGGTGAAAAAAATATGACTGAAGGACCCTCTGAAGTATTTTAGTTATTATCTGACAGCATGCGTATCAAAGCGTGAATACTGAAAACATTATGAATCTACAAAAGAAGCAAGATAAAAAATACACAGATGTATTTAGCAGTGCTTCAAGAGTACAAAACATCTTCAGGGCAGTAAGGTTCCCATTCTGACTTGCTCTGCAAAAACTAAACTTACTGTCTTTCTCCTGAGGAGTTTTCCATCTGTGGTAAGAAATACAGCCCCTTAGCACATTTTTCCTTTATCAGGCACATTGCCGTATTCATATACTTTCCTAAAGCCGTATTAGCTTTAAAGGAGAGTTTACAGTGGGCACAATTCTAGAACACTCTCTCCTCCCAGGGTGTAATGCTGTAACACAATGGAAAGTGCAGCAATGGCAGAATAGTAGCAAGTCCCAGGCTGCAACAAGCAAGGATATGCTTAAATGCAACTGCTGTGGACACAAAAACAAAGGAAAGAAGCTGCTTACCATCAGAAGGCCTCTGGTACACAGGGATCCCCAAATACCCTTGCCTCCCCTGCCAACCCTTAAATGAGGTCTAGGAAGGGGTGGATCCTGGCTCCCCTCCCCCCTTCTGGTCACTCAGCTGCATTGCATACACCTGAGCTCCCTTGGGTTGGCCCTGCCTTCCCCAACAGGTGTTCAATCACTGCTTCAAGCCATGACTTGCATTTCCACTAAACAGGAGCACCTGGGAAATTCAACCCCTCAACTCAACTCCACTCATGCTATGAGTTTCCACTTAAATAGAAAGAAAAAAAATTTCTCCCTAGTGGCCAGTGCAACTGGTTGGTATTTTCTGCATTCCCAGACTAGGCACAGTCGTATATAAAAGCGATGGAAGATAACAGATATTCTACTCATCTGATTGTATTGTAAAAGCCAAGAACATATTTGGTATTAGGGCTAATCATCACTCTCAGAAGTGAAAGGGCGTTTTGAATGGGAAAAGCAACAAGCATCCTTCCACCCTTACTGAATTTTGACTGAAGATCAGGAAATTATTTCGGTTCAGTGGGATTTTTCTTTCTTGAGTTGAAGCTACACTACTTAGCTCATTTGTACTAATTCAAAATCCTATCAAAGCCTTTTGCACTGCTGAAAATATCTGCCTTCTAACAATAACATTCATGCAGAAGTTATTTGCAAGCATCTCATCTAATTGATGTCAGAAAGAGGTGCTTCTCAAGTCACTAACAGAAGACTATTTTAGTAAACAGAGCATATAGCCCAAACATTCAAGATAGAAGCTATATGGTCAACACAAACAGAATGGCAAGATATTTCATTTCACAAAGCTCTGAGACTTAGAGAGAACAAGAAAGAACTTCATGCACCAGACAATAGTCAGTAAATTAACCTGCACATTGCTCACCTTTCTGGCTGTCATGATTTTGGTTTGCTGTAAGGCACAGTGCATTTCTAACCAGATGAAAGTCAATTTAAACATTTATTCTTGACTAGGTATTATTTTTTAATATCACCAGCTACACCAATACAACTCACCCATTCCAGTTTTCTCATCTTTGAGAAGGCAGGAGAGATATTTTTGCATCTATCAATCATTGCAATGTTATGAATTAAAACTCGCATCTTTTTTGCCTCCCAGGTGTTCAGGGTGGTACCCACTCAAACACAGATACATTCAAAGCTATAAAACAAAGCAAACCTGTACATTTTTTTTTTTTACAGAAGAATGTAACCGAGAGCTGCTGCTGAGTGACACGAACCAAAAATAAAAATACAGATGACAAAGCACACGCTTGCCAAACAAATTCTAAGACCAATTTAAGAATCAAACAGAGTGCTGCCAAAGCTTTGAACTAGAGGAAGCAGATGCTTTTGCTGCTGTGACATGCATTTCCACCCAGCAGGTAGACGAGATGAAATCCGGTCTCATCAAGTCACTAACAAGGATTCAGGGCTAACAGCAGATCGGGCTAAGCCAGCAATAACAACACTTTTACATATGATTTCCTGATACATGGAAGTTAGATATTTCCGCTATTTCATCTTCTATTTTTCTTAGAATAAACTGCTGAAAACAAAACTGCAATGGAATGCAGGCATCTATTCCGATACACAATAGTTTATTGAAATAAACTTCACAGGAAACGTTCTCTCTGTATGCATGTACGATCACTACCAAGTTAAGTGAACAGTGTATATACACAGGCAAGGACAAGGATAATTTTGCTTAACAAAAGTGACGTTGGCGCAGATGGGATTAATCCCTAGTAAAATGGAGGTAGCATCATGATTCACTTAAGAGTCACTGCTGTCAATACAATGAATTAGTTTCGTTTATTATCATCGTATATTTTCAGAGTCACATTTACTAAGCAATTGCTCTGTCTTTACTTGGCTCAAGTAAATGCCACAGCAAGGCCTGTGAAGCTCTGAGAATAAGGACTACATGAATGATAGTCCGCGTTCTCTATCCGCTGCTAACAAATAGGTTTGCTAAAACAGTAGCAATAGTAGGGGAGGTTTGCTTAGGGGAATAACAGAACAACAATAAAAAGCAACAAACTCCTTCAACAAGATATCTGTTTCATCAAGAAAATGTTCGTGCTTCACTCTCCATTTCCATTTCTGTTTTCTCCCCAGAGGTCTCTAATATCAACTACAGGCTGCTCTTGGTCACTTTCCCAGGGGAAAGCTTTGTGGAGCATTAGTAGCTGGAAAGACACAGATTGAGAACAGCATGAAAATACATGGAGTATAAGGCTATAATGACATCATTAGCATATTTTAAACTCCAGTTTCCCTAGGGTATTGCATCAGTAACTCAGCTGAGACAGTGACCAAAAAGAAGTTTCATATAATTAACTCTTTCTTATAAAATGTCAAACAGATGAAAACAGAGAAGACATTTTGATTAAAGCTTCTCAGCAGTTAGACACTACAGAAAAAGCTCCTGATAGGAGCTCACTGATCCCATAGAGGTGCATGAAAGTTTCAAGACACTGTTGTAGGAAATACATCAGGTAGAGCAGCACAAATGCTGTGTCCCCATCTCTTTGTCCTGCTGGGGAAGAGCAACTGCTCCTATCCCATCAGGGCAGCAGCCAGTTCCCACTGAGCAATGGGTCCCAGTAATGCTATGTAAACACTTCAGCAGCTCCTGCTATTGCAGCACCACGGGGTTGTTATGTTGGAAGGGACCTCTTGGGATCATCTAGTCCTACTCTCTGTGTTTGCTTCATTTCCTTCTCTGTGGAAGTACCAGAAACTTGCACTGTAAGACTCGTTGATCTGCATCACAGAATTTCTATCTGCATTTGTTTTGGTTTTTGGTGTTTTTTTTTTTTTTTTTTTTTACTCATTCCAGTTAACAAATGTTCATCAGGAAGTAGGCCCTGGTTGTTCAAGCACACAAACGCGACAGTAAATCTGACAGGACCATCAGTTACCTGGAACAGACAAACTAGGTTTAATTCAGATATTGGCTAGCATTTCAATAGCTTTCAGCAGCAGGGCAATAATCAAGATCAACTCAAAATGCTGGAGACAAACAGTGTTTGAAGGCACCCCACTGACGTGTGGAGATTACAACCAGCAATTGGCACAGTAACAACTACAGATGTTCACTTGCTCTTGTACTCAGCTATTGAAGGCTTTTCTAGCTTATGCATGGGCTACAGAATGCCACTCTATCTTAGATAAACATCTTTGTCATAAGGAAGAAATGGTTTTCCAAAGCAACACACTGAATGTTCAGCTGAAGTCAGTGAAAGCAGTGGTGGCTGTTCATTATTTCTGAAAGATAAATTGAGGACTTGTCAAACTTAACAGACATTTTAGAAGTCAGACCTACTGTCTGTTCCCAGACTCAGTGACAGAGAAAGCAAAAGAGATTATATCTTAATATTATGCATTTAAAAGGGACTATATTCATTATAGGACTGCATTTTGTTCTGTGCAAAATTCAATAAACTGTGGTTGTGTATTAACGAAATATTGAAGAGGAAATGAAAAGTATATTCAGTGAAGTTCTGTTTTTATGAAAGCATAAGTATAGAGAAGAGGGAATATAAGTAGCGCACATTGGAAGCCTTCATTATTTAAGTTGCATGTAAGCACTTCTTTCATCAACAAAGACTAAAGAAAGGAGAATTATGCCAGAGATCATTTTTATTTTTCTTCAGAATTAGATAGGTAAAGATAGTGGACTAGAATTTATTAATAATTGAAAGGAGGCCTTAAAAAAACTGAAGAAATAATAAACTGATCTGCCCAGCTGTAACTCCTCCAAGTTATTCTGTCTCAATCCAAACACCTTTAGCACTGGTCCTCTAAAAAAGACCTTTTCAATCTTTCCTTGCCTTTTACAATACAGCAGTGTTGCTCAATTCATTTAAGGCTTAATTCATGAATAAGAAACCACATTTACTCCACGCTCCTGCTTGGGATCTATCACACAGCTGGGATGAAAGGGCCTCAATTCAGAAGTTGCCAGGAAGCTAGGTCACAGTGGTACAGGGTCAAAGTTTAGGCCAATACAATGAATCCCACAAAAATTTGAGTAATATGCACTTCTCATCACAATACATGGGAACTCACATTTACTGAGTCCCACAAAACATTCCTTATGGATCCCTAAAGTCTCATTAAAGACAGAATATGAACAGAGTCTGTGGGCATCAAGTATTTCTCACCCTCAGCTGGAACTGCTAGGATGCTAGGAAAGGAGGTGGCAATTGTAGCAGAATGTAAAGCAGAGCACTGTCCGTTTTCCAGTGCTACATGGCTGCTGACCAGAATAAATAATGATTTTCCTCAACTGAATCTTAAGAAACACTTTGGGAATCACATGCATGTTACACAATGTTGAGGGAGACGGAAAAGGAAAGCACACTCCAGCCTTGGACAGAAGGGGTTGTGAATGGCTCCCAAAGCTCATGATGCTCAGGAACACTAAAAGCATCTGTGTGCCTGCCCCAGCAAGGGCTGCTGCCCCCCTCAGTATGCAGTTCACATACAGCTTTACCTCCACAAGAAAAAGAAACATTCAGCAGGGAGGAAAAAAACACCATTAACGTTCCAAAACATAAAACATTGGAGCAGAGTGTTTGCATCTTACAGAGTGTTTGCTATGAAATTTTCAACTGCCAAATGAAATGCATCAGTGCAAAAAATAGCAGAGAAATACCAAAAGATGCCATCATGTCCAGAACCGCAAGTATTTCCTTGTATTCACTATCCCCATAGCTAGACAGGGAGGTTCCTCCACCCAGTGTGACTGTAACTTCCCTTATAGAAATACCACGCACACTCAGAGTAGAGCATTCAATGTGGTTTTTAATGCTGATGATTCAGCTCAGAAGTGGCACACAAACAGCCAGGCTCTCTGGTGCTTCATTCTGCATTTGCAAACTGCAGCCAGAGACTCTGGGAGTATCCCCTACAATTGTTAACCAAATGAAAAGATCCCCCTACATCCATTTCAAAATCAAGCCATTAGGTAAATATTCACCTTCTCTTGACAAAGCATGTTTCTGCACTGAGTGAGATGCAATTTGCAGCCAAATAGGAAACTTCTGGTTACAACCAGATGAGCACAGTTCCAGTGGTGATAAGGCTGCCTTACCTCCACTTACTTCTGCTTTTGGAAGGCAGGACTATTCTGCAGATCTATTCACAGTGAAAACTGAATATGTGAAAAGGAAAACTTGGTGCTCCTCAAAAGAACAAGAGATGAGTGCCACTCAATGCAGAATTTATTGGTTCACTTATGTTGCATTTTACTATATTGCAGTGTCACAACAGATTATGCATCTTTAAGACAGGAGGGTCATACATAAAGGTCAGACTATTATCTTAAATCACCTAAAGTCATTAGTAACCCTACAGAAATTACTTGTTGAAGCTTTAGGGCAAAATACATAAATAAAATTTAGAGAAAGAGAATCCAATCTTACTCTAGTCATACTAACATGAGCCATTTGTTGTCTGATTTGCACAGCAGTAGGAAGGAACAAGAGTCTGTACGAGAGCACTACAGTACTACAGGGGGACACCCCTTTTTTCCCCTCCTGCCTCTTCCAAAAAGCAGCCTACCCTGCTACAGTTCTAGGCCTGGCAGAGTCAGGATTCCACTTGAGATAAGGAACTGCTTAATTGCACCAGCACACCATTTTCTTGATCACACCGTATCAAATTCATTCATGTAAATAATGATTTTTTTAAATCAAAAATGTATTTTTAAAAGGAAAAAAAAAAAAACACCATTCAAAAGAATTACACAAGTATATCTTTCACAGGAAGTCCACAATGCTGCCAGATTTCAGATTCAAGCCAAGCTTCAAGCACTAGCATATTTAATTTAAAAAAATACTCTTTTTTTTTTTTTTAAACATGTGCAACCAAAATGTCATTTGATTCTCATTCTGAGAAACAGCTGGAGTCTACTGTAACATCTCTGAAAAATCAGCACAAGGTTGATACTCCAGATGGAAACCACAAGCAACAGGTAAACGCTGCTCCTTGTTCAGACAAAAAAAAAATAAATAAAAAAAATGCAAGTGAGTTCAAAACAAAACAGCTGATAATTTCTAGCTTTTTTATAATCAAGAATTTTAAGAAGAGCTATGTGAAGTTTCACAGTATCAGCTGAACAGATGGTACATCAGACAAGAATTGTTAGGGGATATTTTCGAAGGCATCAAGATTTTGAGTAATCAGCTATCCACAAAATTAAGTACAAAGAAGGGACTCACACTTAGGAAAGAGGTAAAGACTACAAATTGACCTTGAGAAAATTTATGAGGGTGGATTTGGAATTGCTGAAACCCTTGCCTGAGCTGCCATATTGTTTTGTGAAACAAACATAAAACAACCAGCTTCCTAAGTAGAATCCTGGTCCCAGCAACCCCTTTAAAAGTGTATTTAATACAGAAATTGCACGTTTCTGCATCTTTTAAGCCTTTTCTGTCCCAGAGATAGTTCTTTGTCACCCTTTAAAACAGCTGTTTTCTCTTAAATCATTAAAAAAGTGAAAGGAAGAGACAAAGGGAGCATGGAAACTGTGCTATCCAGAACTGATTTTAGCTTTGGCCAAACATCATCTGTGGGAGTAAGAAATGAGGAGACACGATAAAATGGAGATTCTTGACTTGTTTACAATTAAACACCCGAACCACAAGATATTCATTATTTTGTATTTGACGCGCAAATTTTAGGAATCCAAAGTAGAATTTTCAAAGACTTCTTTATGTATCATTGAATTATGGATTATAGTTTGGATCTAAAAAGGAAAAAACACCTTACTGTAAACACATTTGCAGTGACAGTTCTACCTGAAATCGTCTATTACATTCTATGGAACATTTTAAAGACAGTTTGAAGGAAGTCCTTTTCCATTTCATATATTTATGGAGTAGGTTTTGTAAACTTTACAGATGCTCATTCTTGTTATTTCAGCAGAATACCCTAAAACTGCACAGACCTCACACTGTACCTGGAACTCATGGCAACTCAATGTGTTCCTCTCACAGTCATGTAGGAGTCATATACATTTCCACAGAAATACAAAGATACACGAAAGGTAAACTGAATTACTTCCTATGGCTGGGAGTGCCACTCTTGGCATGATTTGCCTCTTCATTTCTATCAACAGAAACTTCTCTCTGAAGTAAGAATATGAAAAAGCAAAGGGGACTGAAGGACTATTTCTGAGAACAACAAAAAAATGGGTCAATGGGAAGGGAGAGAAGATCCTGTCAGCAGCTGCCTGCTGTATCCTTCAGTATGATTCTAGAACTTCAGTTTCTAGTACTATGGTTGCACAAACATACACTAAATAAAATACGTCTAAAGAATTCTGTGATACCATATGATACACATCATAAATTTTTAACTGTAATTGCTTCCTATAACCATGTTTGCCTTAACACTGTAGAGACGGAAGGGTGTAACCCTTAAACAGGTCCTTATCAGTTAGCTATATGGAAGAAAGAAACAGTTGGTAACATTTTTAATGTGTTGACTCAGCAGTTTAATAGAGCTGACTTGGCTGTACCAAAAGAAAAAAAAATGAAAAAAGAAAAACAGTTCTTCATAGGCTCTTTCTAAGATCATGCATAACAAATGTAAATGTGTTGTGAGGAAAATTTCAATAAACCTGCTTCCTCTTCTTTGTACTGGAACAGGGAATCATTATTCATGCTGTATCTGCTTTTCTGCACTTCTGAAGCTTTTGCCAAAAATAAATAAATCACAAAACATCACTGTTTTTAACTGGCCAAGGCATTGGGCATAGTGTCATTAATCACAGCTTATCATCATCTGGTATGCCTGATCTCTTCAAAAGTTCACATGACCACTCCCACCGAATTCAACAAGGTGGTTCACTCATCTGGTCTCTTTTGGAAGTTTGCAAAACTAGACCTTTGAGATTTTACACGAGTACTAGATTAAGAGGTCATTTTACAAGGGAATCTGAAGCAAATAGTGATTTACTGATCATGGGCAGGTGGAACCATCTGACGCTGTCTACTTTGGGGTTAAAAGAATGGAAGAAAGAGGGCTTGCCCTTTTATTTTTAGGAGAATTGTACTGACTAAGAAATAAGCATAGGAGGAAATAAACAGAAAAAAATATTTACAGAAATGAGTATTTCCATCATCACTTTACTGCCATCATTGACTTGAAATTGCTGACCAATTGCAATTGCTGACTGAGATTATTATCAATTACTGCTAAGTACTAGGTATTTTACTATCTGGGAACAACCTCTATTGTTCTATGACTGTTTTCTCTGGCAACACATACTGAACTGAGCCATCCCAATTTGCCTCATACTTCAGCAGTTTCCTTTCAGTTACACTGGGGCACTTCTAGCAAAGGAGTCTGCCCTAGACTTGGCTGCAACATATTCCTCTGTTTTGCCAATATTTCAACTATAAAATAAAAATTATAGTTGTCATAACTGTGTGCATCTCCACTCGCTTCAGACAAGTTGCACTGAGGCTGCTCTGGGCTCAACAATTCAACAGGACTTATGAACATACTTCATAAACAGCATATACAGACATCTGATTATGATACATTACCATTTTATTTTGTTTCTTGAATAACATGCTATCAGTTGCATTTAAACAGAGCTATGTAAAACATGAACAGGCTCTACTCAGAGTTTTATTGCAATTTAAGTGTTAGCTGATGCTAGCCTGGTTCACAAATTCTACATTTGAAGTTTATCTAGAGACAGATACACCTCCTGTATGTGGTATCTTTGTAAGGGGTTTACAAACTGCAGTACCAACAAACTCAAAGAAAGGAAGGCATGGGAGCATCAACACCAAATCATTGTGATAGAAGCCAGGAACAACTAGAAATAATAGTAGTACTATGACATGGTTAAATAGCACAATTTCCACATTAAACATTTTTAGCTACACAAAAGGAAAGAATCTACAGCAAAAAAAAAAAAATCTGGATTTATATTATCACTATAATCAACCACAACGATGGCAAGTATCTCACAAGAGTTTTGCAATGTTGAACTCAACCATAACTCTGTAAAGTAACCTAAAGATAAAGCCAGCCTTCTACATCATCACAATTTAATTAGAGCCTTTGAAGCCACGCACCTTTGATCCGAGCAAAGTGATAAATGTATTATATTTTAAAAGGACTGTTATATGTTCTGTTAAACACAACGGCAGGGTTGAACCAGAACAGCCTTTGTGTAATGAGGAAACATTCATTTTGAGGAACAGACACAAAAAGTAGAAGGGTTGGCTGCCCTCCTTTCAAACGCACAGGTACCCGACTGCATAAAAATTTCTAGAGAATGAAAAATAACACTGATTTAACATATGTCTTCCCCACGAGGGAAACAATCAAGCTAATGAAAGAATACTAGACACGTACTGTTAGCAGAGTAAAACGTTTACCTTTGAACATCCAGCTACCATTGCAATGCAGTATGGCTTGGAGAAGTTTTCCGCCTTGACAAGAAAGGACTCAAAGAAACAAATCTCAAGAGTCCAACAGAAGAGCCAGAACTACAGAAGTATTTACTAAAAGCCTTCATCAGCCTAAGGAGAGTAAGAAGAGGACTTCTGCTTAGGAACTGATCCTATCAATACAAGTATCAGTCAAATCAATTCATTTGTCCTGAATTGGACCACCTGTGGTTATTGTGAGGACAACAGGTTTCCCAGCTGCTTCCACTTCTCCAACCCCACCCTGAAATAGTTTTGGATCCTTTTAGCATGAACATTAGCTAGAGAAATTTCAGCGTCTGAGAAAGGTTAGATCCAAGTGTATTCTGAACGATTCTCACAGTATTTGTTAGTTTCTAATCTAATCAGCAATTCATCTGTATTTCTGGCTTTAGGAGAAGCAGTGAAACGATTATGAAAATCTGAAGACAATAAAAGCGCAAGGCAGAAATGTATTTTTAAAAATATTATAATGTTAGGTGCGCCAATATTAAAATAATAATAAAGTACTTTCTACTCTGATGCTCTAGGTCAGATTTTATGGCACTCACTAGAATCTTTTATATGAGTAAATATGACACTCCTCCTTTATCGCTTACACCTGCCACTACAAACTATTGTAAGCTATTAAGCCTCCATGAGCTCTTTCCTAGTATTAGTATGTTTCTCTGTCATTCGGCACAGAAAATTTGCCTGCCTAAACACTGACAAGTAGACTGTAACACACTGGTAGTACAAGCATGTGAATATGAAAAAATTGTTCATTACAAGTGATTATCAGTAGCTCAGTGAAAGGTATCAACAGCAGGGAACTGTGGGAATGGGAACCTTGTGTGCTAATTCCAATATGGAATGCTGGCTGAATGCCAGCTAGTTTTGTGCTGCTAGCAAATGGGGTTTGGGGCAGGGGGACAATAAGAAAACAATCCATTTTCCATCCTAATCATGTTTCTCAGTGTTGTTGCTGCTTAGAGGCTGTCAAAAACACTCCCAGTGCTGAGGAAGACTCTCTGTAGAGCTGTACTACTGCTCCTTTTGGTACCACATTCCCTCTTTGATAGAGAATGCCTTAACATTTTGTGGATTCACTGTTCTCTCATATTGTACATCTTCTTACATAGAATAAAATACTTTCTGAAAGTGCCATTAGTCTAAAATACACAATTCTTGAATCTGTTCTATTAGAAAAGATTAGCAATTTATCCATACAAAAATAAACACATTGTTATTTCTAGAAATAAGCTCATTTAGCAAATGAATGTGATCATAAAACATTACCACTAGATCAAAGGTCAACTGAAAAAGTAGAACATGGAGTTATTAATACATTTATTTTCATACCTTCCAGTCATTGCCAGTATTTTTATCTTTTTCAGTAAAATGGACTTTGTAATCAGCACACTGTGGACAGTTTTAACTTAACAATAAATGCCTCTGATGCAATTTTTTTTCCTTGCTATATACTGAGAACAGCATGCAAAAGATTTCAGTATCTACTAATTTGTACCTAATTCAGTTCTTAACTTTTTTTCTTCAGCCTAGGGGAGTTCAACTCATTTCTTAGTAACTTATTAGATGAATATCAAATATCCTGAAATAACTGCATTTAACAGCAGTGTTTTTGTTTCTGGAAAAAAGAAAAAATAAAACACATACATTTTTAGTCTAGGGCTCCAGCCCTGAGGTCTGGGTACAGCAATGACGACGTTACAAACTGTCTGGAACACTCTCAATAATACTCACAACAGGACAATCCTTCCTCCTCTTCCTGGTTAACCACTGTGAAGCACACGGGTTCAGCACTCCTTTAGGTCTGAATTAATTATTCACATGGGATCGTTGAATAGGTACAGCAGGAAAAAAAAGACAACAACAGAACAGCTTATTCTCTTCTCTCAACAACACAGGGTCTGATACAGTCATATCCTAACCAGCTCCTATAAGCAGCTGAGCATGACTAAATACAAGTGCCCAAAAAGTGCAACTCAAAGGGGCTGTTTTTAGTTTGCCTACATTCACATCCCTATCAGAGAACACTGAGGGGATGACCTCTTTGTTCTGTTTTTTTTTTGTTTGTTTTTGTTGCTGTTGTTTTTACCAGGCACTTATTGGTTATAAAAGCCTGAAGACTGTTATGATAAGATGCATAGCTACTATGTTATGAAGATACTGTGTGTGCCTTCTAATGATAAGGTGTTAAATAACAATTTTTTGATCATGCATAGGCAAAGATTATGGGCATTTTTTAAAAATAAACTGCAATAGTGCAAAAGCAGCTCATAAAAATAGTTCTTTTTTTCCTCTTTCATACCTCATCTTTGTACATTTTTACTCCATGAGTTCTGAAAATCTGACATAGTTCAGCAATGACTAGGTTTCCACTAATGGGATTTGGACAAGTATTCTAGCCCTTTCATCAGCAATAAGGAAACTGAATGTTCTCTGTTAATCAGCTCAGCACAGTCATTATTTAACCCGCAGACAACGTGTGGCAGCAAAGTTTAAATTTTCAACCTTGAGAAGGCGGCAGGCTTTGCTAACTGCCCGCTGAAGGCAGGCAGAAATCACAAAGACTTGGAGGCAAAAAAACAACAAAAGAAAAGACAAACTTCTAATAAGAAAAACGTTCAGTAAATCTGACCGACTGTTAAGCCACAAATAAGGAAAACACTAGGCTGCATCTGAAATTATGGATACAGACTACACAGCATTACTCAGAGGAGAGATAACAGGAAAGCTTGTAAGACAGCTGTAAATTCTTCCAGGCTAAAGGAGCTGAAGACATCAACAGAGCAATATTGTGTCAAATCCATCCCTTCTGCATATGCTTCACCATCAGTAAGGAGAGGCATTAAGAGTACCTCAAGCATCTCTGAGCTGCCAGGACATCTCTTTATTTTGAGCTGTTTGTATGACAGGCTGAACCAAACATGAAGTGAGAGAAGGATCAGTTTGCACCGGGTTGCAATGGGAGTGTGTCTTCCTCACCTCTGATACAGCATGCAACTACCATTTCTTAGCTGGAGATAGAGACACATCCAGAGATATCACCATTCAGAAACACTACTTGATACCAGATAATTAAAAAAAAAAAAAAATTGCCAGAACAGCAAGCTAGATCAATCCTATCTATAATAAGATGTTTACATTCTAACATATTTAATTTCAGCCTCCAGAAAGTACTTTGCTATGAAGCAACAACACGATGCTGGTTTGTGCAGTTGTATTTTATTCACTACCAGAAATTACTTAAGATGAGACCTATACAATTCTCACAAGATTAAAGAGACTAAATTAATTTCGTTAAAAGGTTTTGATTTGCTTTTGCTTTAAAGGCAGAACTTCCTTGCTTTTGTGTACAGCCAACAGGGCGCACCACATGGAAATACAAAGAAATCAGCACAGGTTGAGGGAGGAAGCATTCCTAATCAAACGTCAATTTATGTTTCTGCAACAGAAGAAAGTAGCAGTGATAGCTAGGTCTGGCCCTACTCAAAAGACATAGCAGCTTAATCAGAAGTGAAATAACTAAATGAACTGCCTTTTAATTATTTATATTTTTCATTCTGTACATTTTGTGGCTTTAAACATGCAAGAGATTAGTGTTAAAATATTGGAAGGAAAACCTTCACAGAATCACAGAACGGTTTGGTTTGGAAGGGACCTTTAAGATCACCTGGTTCCAGCCCCCCTGCTATAGGCAGGGACACCTCCCTCTGGACCAGGTTGCTCATATCCTCATCCAGCCTGGCCTTGAATGCTTCCAGGGTGTGGGCACCCACAACCTCACTGATCTACCTGTTTCCACAACTCACCACCCTCACAGCAAAGAATTTCTTCTTAATACCTATTCTAAATCCACCCTCTTTCAGTTTGTAAACCATTTCCCCTTGTTCTGTCAATACATGCCCTTGTAAAAAGTCCCTCCCCAGCCTTTATGTTTAAGGAGCTGGGAAGCTACTTGGAAATGAAGTTTAAATATAAAATCATCATTGATTTATACCTATGATTTCTTCCTGCTTAGTTATTCATCACCAGACCTCACTGCAAGTAACTTTTCCTCTAGCAGCACGCTAACTATTGCATCCTTTAAATTTACAAGTCAAAGAAAACCACACTGCTCTCCACAAAACTCCAAGGCATGTCCCAAGCAATGGGACAATGTGGAGGTGGCTGCAGAAACCTCCACAAAAGCCTCAGAACAGGCCAAATGTGTGCCAGCTGTGACCCCAAGCATCCTGTCACCTGAGAACACAAATCATATTTCAGCGTGCGGCAAAACCAGTTATTCAGGCTCTCAAGCAGAATAGTCTCTGTATGAACACATTTTGTGAATACATGTCATTTCTTATCTGTGAGAGAGTTTAGTAGAAGGAATATACAGCCAGGAATACTCCGTCCAAATGCAAGCTCAGTCAAAGTTTTGCCAAGTTATTTAAACTGCATTTTTGCTTCCTTTTAATACTATAATTAATACCCACACTTCTGTGATTGTACAAGAATAGGCCAGTAATGTTACATTTGCCTCAAATACACATAATCACACACACAAAAAAATTGTTTGTGCTGAAAATATATTTTGAAGTGATGAGAATACCAACACTGAGCTGAATAAACAAACACATACCTTTGCAAAAGCCACACTGATTCAGTCATACCTCAGAGCAGTCTCATACTGTATGCCATACAGGCATAAATCATACACACCTAGCCAAACTAAAATTCAACAGCAATTCCCTGAGTAGAGAGGACTGTGCAGTGGATTATAAACAGCCTCATCAAATTCTTCTGGGGATCCATTTCACTGCTGAGAAATCAGACAAGAAAAACAGTTTGTTGAAGGTCAAGCAGTATCAGAGGCCAAACTAGTTTTCCAAACATCTCCACAAAACCACAGCTAGCATTCAGAAGCTTTTCTTAGCCTGTAATACTGGACACGAATTCTGGCAGCTACCTCTGTCCCTTCTCCAACACAGGCAACTCAACCTTCCTTTCACTCCATGTCTGTCCGGAAAAGGCGCAATTAGGAACATACTTATTACCAATGATTGGAAGTAATTACCAGGTGAGATTACTTTCTACAAAAAACTTCATTTCTTTAGTATGCCTGAATACAGTCAGCACAAAAACTCTGTAGCTCAGTAATTCCAATTTTCTATCTGTAATGCAAATCTATACAATACAATACCCAAGTTAATCCTGCGCGTTTTACTTGTCCTATTTGTGTTCCCCTTGAAGTGCATTCTCTCACCCTAATGCTAAAGCAGTCAAAACAACAAATGATGCAAGTCAGCTTTTAAGTGAATGGGGCACCTCTCCTCACAAATAGGGTGCCATATGGATTCCTGTCATGAATATGGGATTTCTTTTTAAAGTTACAGAGTGCTTTCAGCATTTAATGGCCAGTGCTGCTGCTGTTCAGGTTCCCTTTGTAGTTTGTACCCCAGGGACACAGAGCTCTATGCATTACCAACTTTTCCCTTATTTTTCACCCCCCATTATCAATCTGTGTAAATAAGATGCACAGCATCCGCTAGTTAATAAACAAACTCTCACTTTGATTACACTTTCAGTTTCCAAGCACAGAGCTGACTAACCACAAAGAATAAATGTGTTTGGGGTTTCAGCGCTGGCCTTGGAAGATTGTTCACAAATACATGATTCATATCCGATTCTGAACATTAACACTTTCCTCATGACTCATACATACAGTTAAACAATAAAACAGAGTGCTTATTGAAGTTTTGTTTAACATGTATGAAGGATCTATCATTAATATTTTTAAATTTAATTGTTTAACAATGTCAATCCTATTATTAGCTTCAAGGAGGGGATGTTTCCACTTCTATCTTGAAATAAATACATGCTTTTGAATTTGCTCTGGCTTATATAAAGAATCTGTCAGTAACAGCTCAGAAAACAAACAACAAAAAGCCATTAAGCACTGCACGAATGAGGAGTACCTTACCAATGTGACCATAGTGCATTATCTGAATTGGTAGAAGATGATTTTTCCTATATATTTCGTTGTATAGAACACTGTATATAACATGCTGATCAACAGACCATTTCCTCACATTGTTTGCCTCTACAGAGTGAAGGATAAAACAGAGAATACAGCCTTCCTTACACAATAGAGACTTGAGTTGTTCTATCTGGTCCCTGCCTATCAGGATACAATTCCCGGATAAATTATAGCCAATGACTGGCAAATCCAGAATGCATAAGAATACAAATTTGGCTTAAAAAAAAAAACCCTGAGGGATTATTTTTAAAACTTTATCCTTTGCAATTCAGTTTTCTTTTAAGGTTTGCTAAATCATTATAATTGGGTACTATTTGCAGTTACATTACAAAAAAATCAGCTCCAGCTCTATATGCAGGAACCATGAAAGTGCAAAGTAGAGCTTTTAAGAGTCATATTGTATCTTTGATATATGTTCAGGTAGAATATGACATGTAGATCTCCATTTCAAACTTCCAGGATCATTGTAATCTTGGGACACATCTCTGTCTTGAGTCTGTATACTGTTTCCTATATGCAACTTTCAAAACAGTTTTTACCAATTTGCTCCTATCTTTATAGAAGCCACTTCTAAATAACCACAGAAGCAAGCATTCCACTACAAACAAAGTTTTTCACTTTATTATAGAGAGCTTTTTCAAAGGATAAATTCTTCCAAAATATTAAAGAAGAAATTCAGGAAAAACACTGATGACACAGGAACATATTCTGCAGATGTTCATTGTGTCATCGACCATCAATGAATGATTAAGAATCTCCCAAGCTTCATTCTAACCCCACTGAAGTTACTCACAAACTATTCACCCTATTGATGCAAGGCTGGCATTGAATTCAGATGTTGGCTCTATCATGTGAAAGCTTTCTGCCTGTTCACTAACACTGTGTAATTTCTAAATATTTCCTGACAATTCACGTTCCTCACCGGTTGTGGAGCTCTGGTCTCACACACGTTGCCTTCAGAAACTGACCTTGCAGAGGTAGAATCAGTGATTTGCTGGTGTTGACAAAGCCTTTCTGCTGCTGCTGTTGGCCTCACATCTGCACACATTTTCAGCATGGCTGAGCAAGGACAGAAAATAAGGGGGAGTTATTCACAAGCAAACACAAGTATCAGTCATTGCACCCACATGGCTAATAAAACAATTCCCAAATATTGCACTTTCGTTGAAATAAAGTTAATACTTAAGTCCTGTCCAAATAGCAGGCAGAAAACAGACAGTACTGATATATAAGAATGAAGCTATATCCAAAGAGCAGGCAGAAAACTGAAAATGCTGATGTACAAAGATGATAGAACTGTTCCCAGTTTTCCACTCAGGTTTTGAAAGAAGTGCAGGAGAAGTTAACAGTGGAAGACTTGTGTGTTTGCTGTGGGACTCAAACTTGCTTCCAGTAACTGTGTTTTTCTTCACCAAAACAATATCAAAATGGCCACATCTGAGGCAGGTTTTGTGTTGACACCTCAGGCAGTACAAGCAAGAACTCTGCAAGGCCCTGCTCATAGGCTGTAGCCTCAGGAACCTCTCCTGGTTTATCTACCCTCCTGCCCAGCCTGGCATGGCTGCCATCTTAGACTCCATGCTGCCCTAATGGCAGGACTGGCGTGATCCTCAGTGCTCCAGATTGCCTGCGAAACACAAACTAACAGCAGGTTTCACCACGCAGCTCTTATCTCAGCACCAGATGACTGAAAATATTGAAAGGAAATATGAGCAGGGGAAGCGTTTCTTCATGTTTTTGTGCGACGCTTGTTGCTAGGAAAAATATTTCCTTAGTATCTCTATGGGCTCTGCTAGTCAGCATCAGTGGAGCTCTGCTGGTTGCCAGAGTACAAAACACTGCAAATGTCAGGAAAAAAAAAAAAAAAAGAGGAAGAAGTAAAGCTTTAAGAATGTGCCCCTTTATGAATGTCCATCCCCTCAGCACTGCTCTTCACACGGTCAATAAACAGACACGCATCTGCTTTCCTGGCTGGGACAAATCTTGAGAGCTTCTTCCCAATGTATTTTGTCTAAGCAGTCATATTTTTGGGCCTGGTTTTTAAAAAGCTTGGAAGCAATTATTTGTATCATGGTACCACATGGTGGATCACAGCCTGAATGCAGCGTGAACAAGCAAGCTGAGGCCTCAAGAAGCCTGCATTTTACACTGGCAAAAGAGAAAGGGGGGGAAGGGAAAGTGGGTCACTGAGGGGCAGAACAGCTCATCCCTAGTTGCAGAGATGGGGCTCTGATCTCCTACCTCACAGCTCTTGTGCCTCTGGTCGTGCTTCTGGTCGTAAGCAGTACCAGATACCCCAGGGAGGAAAGCTGAAAAAAATCCTGGCCTGGACAACCCCTGTGTGGATCTGAACCCCACCTCCCATCTCAGCTAAATATCGAGGCTTTCTGCATATTCGCAGAGCTGAGACTAATGATGGCATCACTATGTTTCAGCTCTTTGAGAGGCGAAAGGATAACTCATTTCCTAGGCCAATCACTCACCAGTCTTTTTGCTCACAGCTGGGTCTAATGATGGTGATGAAGGGTTGGGGGATGGAGAGCTGGGAGCTGGTTATCGCTGAACTTGCTGCATACTGGCCACAGCACAACAACTGAGCATATTTTTTTGAGCTGGATATTTAACTCCCATTAAATGGTTTCCAGTCTCCACTGATCATTGTCCAAAATGTCTTGTGGCTGATCCCATCACTGACCACTGAAAGTTCTCGCATGGCACTATTTTCATTTCAAGTTTTTCACAATAAAATGGTCTTCCCCAGTCTCTCTGCATTGTTTTATAAGCCATTTGGTTTTAAGTAAGATACTTTTTGCCAGAAAAATAGCAAGACTTTGTCTGAATACAAATCCCATGCCCAACACTGCTGACATTTGCGCGCAGAGACGCGCTTTCCAGTTTATTCTATTGTGCTTTTTTTTTTTTTTTAATAGTTCAGTGGAAAGTTTGGATGGTTCCAGGCAAGTAGGCAAATATCCTTTAACAACGCAACAACAGAAATAGCCTGGAAAAAAAAAAAAAAAAAAAAGAAAAGAAACAGAAATATATCTCAGTGCTGCTAGGGGAATTATGGGTTGTTGGTTTCTTACTTTTGCTTTTTTTAATGATAAAAAAAAAAAAAGGCAAAATTTGTAGATGATGATAAGAAACTAAATTTGCAGCAGTTAGCAGCTGTTCTCTTCTCCACTTGAGTATATGAAAGAAAGGGACAACTTCTGTTATTTCAGTCACCTGTCTTTAAATTTAGAGCCTGACAATCAGGACTAGTGCGTGGCACCTGGTGCAGCAGGTACTGAAGACTGTGGATCCATTAGTCACAGCATGTTGAAAGAGCTGGGCTTCGGAGCCCTTACAGATCCAGGGGTCTGAGAACCCAAGAGCATTTAAAAATCTGAACATCTCTGTCGATCTAAATTTCTGCAAGCAAACTAGTTGCCAAGTTGTTACCTGACCAAACAGGGTTTGCTCCAGAAAGTCCCCAGGTAAAGGCGTGGAGCACTGATCTATGGCGCCATCTAGCTCCCACAAAAGGAATATTTGGAATAGCTCTTTTTTCCATACAATTACGACTCAAACTTTATCTGATCTTTTGCACAGAAACACAAAAGATGATAACGAGTAAAAATGTTTGTTATTGTTCTCACTTCTTGGCCTTCTGGGAGCAAAGAAAACTGGAGCACGACAAATAGGCCTCGCTTGCCTTCTGCTTACAGGGGCTTGAAAAAACCCAAAGTTCCTCCCTGTATCTCTTCGAGGATCTTTCTTTCTTTCTTTCTCTTTCCAGGAGAGGCAAGTGGCTTGATCCAACCATATGCAGAAAACCACCATAGGTACATAAGGCTCTGCTCACTCTTTCTTCCATAAGCGTCTCTTTTGTGCTCTGTCTTTGCATCACAGCTCTGGCCCACCTGATCCACTACCCAGTGAAGGGCAAAGGCCAGTGCTAGTTGTTCCAGAGGAAGTGCAAGGAAGCTGATAGTCTGAGAGCAAATACAAAAATCTGTGCAACAGAGCTTTGATTTCTACTAATTACCTGTAACACGTGGAGCATACATAACCTACTTTATTTCCAGTGATATTCACCATGGTGAAGCAAAACATTTTCCAGCCAAATGGTACAAATAATTGGCAGATTTGAGATATAGAAGAAGTCAGGTTCATATCATGTGAGAAAACAAAATCTGGAAGCTGTTTTTGCTGTCTGAGCATTTGAAAATCCTTCATTCCCCATGCTCTCAGCCTTCTGTGGTTGCTAAATAGGAAGACCTCAACAGCTTTCAGCAGAAATTATGAGACATGGGGATTCCAAACCAGAGAGAATGGAGGCTGAAACTGCACAGGTCAGGAAATACTTGAAAGCAGGCAGACAACAACAGTACAATCCCAGGTAATACGTGTGTAATACAAGTGAAAGATCAAATTTAAAACTCCAACTAGCCTGCAGGACATTTGCCAACATGCAAGTTAGGCTCCAGTGATGTATGGAATATATTTGCTCTGAGTCTACGCTCTGCTGTATGCCAGAAGCTTTTAAACCATCTTTACAAATATGTTCCCATCTTTTGCCAACTGAATATACAGTCTTTTTCCCTCACGTTGGTATCTCCAGTTCTCCTTACTAACTTCATAATTTCTGTGGCTGTAACTGCTCTTATACATACTCAAATATTTTTGTGAAATGCAACAAACTTAACTGTTCTCTTTTAGAAAAAAAAAAAGAAAAAGCATTATTTGCATTATTTTCACATACCTTACACACACACACACACACACAAGTTATTTTAAAAAGCTTCATGGATTGGCAGCCATTCAGTTCTACTGCTTTTTTCTTCAGTTGTTTCTCTACCCTCTTCTGTCTCCACTCATCTGATGTGACCCTTTCTCCTGCCACATATCTGCCATGCTTTGTTTCTTCAGCAGTAGTGACTTTCATAAACTTGGCCTAATTTCTCTGCTGTAACCCTTTTAATGTTATACATATCTCCTTTACATTTTCCTAGGTCTTACAAGACAACTCTTTTTCTGCAACTACTCTCCTGTAGACATGGATTTTTCTAGCTGTGGCTTTTCCTCCAAGTTTCAGTTGTATTCTGAAATGCATATTTTCATGCATTCTAAACAGACATTCTCAATCCATATTATTCCAGTCTATTCCCAGACTAAAAGGCAGTGTAATGTCAGAATGTTGATAAAGATGGCAATGTTGCCAGCCCTAATGTTGCCCTAATATTCTTTTGATCTTCCTCTATACCCTCTCCTCGTTGTTCCTCATCCTATATATATTTAAAAAAAAAACACTGTGTTATGTGAAATGCAGGCTGTTCACTGTGTTTTTAAGTAATGACTTGATAGCACAGGTCAAGGATGAAAGAGCATGAACCACAAGCATCTCAATCTTCATTCAGATTTTAGCTTGCATCGTAGCAGGAAGAAATTTAATACTATAGGCTACCTAGCTCAGCTACAGGATGTTGATTCCATATGGAATACCAGATTCAAGAAGAATGGATAAGTGAGTTTATCACATTCTGTTGATCACATTTACTTCAGGCAAGTACTTTCCTAGTGCTTGTCAATGTTTAGATTCTAGTGTTTGCCAAAACCACGTAGAGAGGATTCCTCCTTTTCTGAGAATCTCAGCTGTACACAAAGTAAAAAGTAAAATTAAAAGCAATGTCTTTTGCTAAGGAATGCAGGAAATGTGTTGCATTTTCATTGCAACCACATGAAAGCAGAACTGCTGTGGAAATAAAATAGTTCCAAATACAATGAACTTGCTGACTCAGTTGATCCAGATGAAAAAAAATACAAGTCAGCAATTTAAGCAACAGCAGTACCCACTGTACTGTATCTGCAATACTGATGTAATGTGCATTGCAACATCATATTTCCCTGAATATAGCACTTGTGAGTTTGATGAGCTACAGCTTTTAGAAGCAGCTTTGGATTTGCTGCAAATTACATAAGAGAGTTTTCCTTTACAGCTTAGACTGTTAGATGTTGGACCCACCCAACTCCTTAAGGAACAGGACTTTAAAAGCAAACAATTTACTCCTGCTTTTTTCTGACCTTAATCTGAAGCACATATCAAACTTGAGATAAGCATAGATCTTGCCAATTCTCCTAATGTACCCAGAATTATTGCCATTACAGCATTTTCTATTCAGAACAGCTTATGCAAATCATTTCTCATTGTCACATGCAAATCATTTAATTCATTTTTGCTCTTTGATAGTTTTTACGAGCAACTTATAGGCAAAATATTGTAATAAAAGTGGGCACATCTTCAAGCCATTTCAAATTTTTAGTGTAATTTTCTACTTTAAAACTGCCATTAGAAATTAATAGCAGCTGTCTCTAATACAGCAGAGATCTATTCCAAGTGGAAAAACCATCTAGAATTTATGATTTTAAACAATTCATAGGAACTGGTACTCTACATCTATGTTAGGTGAGAGAACAAAGTGACAAAGCACGTGGAATGGGATATGAATCAGCCTGGAGACTGGTTAAAGATTCTTTGTTGCAACTGCTATAACTTCAGGATAACACAGGAAACAGCCACCTTCATCATTTTTAAATAGTGGAAGTTGAGTTCAGAAAGCGTTCAGTGCATGGAAGCATCTCTGTGAGGAGCAAGAGAATACCAAGAAGGTCAGTAACAGCAGATTACATTCTAAGATACAAGAAAGACAGCAAGCGAACAATTAGAGAAGGAAGGAATAGCAAAAGCTTCTACTTTTATCTGGTTTATGTGCCTGTCTTTTTCTTCCTTATTCATTTTATCTATTTGTTTTGTAGGAAGATTGTAAAGCAGCTGAACATGTCTGGTCTATGTAAGGACAACAGGTGAACAGAGAATTGTGGAATAGCACCTGCCTTAGAATATTATATTTCTGCATCCCTGAAGATACACACACCTCTATTTGGAAACTCAGTGAACAGGAAGCATGACATTATATAACTGACTTACAGACATTATTAATATAACCTATTTTAAGGAAGATAACTTTATTTTAAATGTGAGTAAACTAATAGATAACTTTTTCTCTCTTGCACATTATGCGTAGCGACTGCAAAGTATGATGGATTCTTAGGATTCTTTGCTTTTTTTTTTCCCTCCCTGCATTTCATTCATGTGAAGTTCACACCTTGCTTTATTCAACACTACCAAATTCCCAAGGCTCCAAAGGTTTTTTGTGCTCTCATGAAGTGGGACGCTTTTGAAAAATCTTGCATTACGCTTCACTGTTCTTCTGCTAAACTTAGCTGCTCGTTGCTCACTGCCACTGATGTTCTCTATTGTAGTAATTGATTCTGTTCATTTAAAGCCTACCGTAGTCCTCCCATGTTATACAGTACATTTTCCAGTCATTAGGATATACAGAAGTTTAACTGAGAACTAGATCATGCAAGACAAATATTTCCCCATAGTATCAGAAAACTGGCAGTGTTCTGCTAATACTTGACAAGACAAGAAGGAGCAATGCACTTTGAAAAAGAATGCCACATAATATCCAAATCCATTTTTAAGAATAGTTCTACTTATGCTAGCACAGTGCCTCTCGCCTTTGCTTCCCAGGAAAACTACCACAAATACATAACTAGTCTGATCACGCTCATTGAAAGTGAACTTTTACAATAGTGCCTACTCTTTCTGAGGAATATTTCTGGGTACTAGACACTAACATTTTGCTTCTCTATTAAGAGTTCAGAAACGCGCCAGGAGAGTCGTGACTCTAGCTGGCAAAACTGCACACCGAGTTGTTGCAGTATATCTCACATGAACAGCTGACAGACCAAGGATTACGTGCAGAGGCTATGTGGCCATGCACTTTGACTCAGGATGCCTGTGGTCTCTGCAAAGGGAATGAAGCGATCGTCAGAAAAAGATGAGAATCAGCAGCAGAATTACTCATGGTCGAGGAGTTCTGCAGCTACAGTTATGATTTATATGCTGTTCTTTATATAGCTTGACTAGTTACTCCCCATCACTTTCACTGAAGAAAACATCACCAAGCAAGTGGTTTTCAGTAATAGTGATTACTATTGTTTCTGATACAGATATTTTCCTTTGTAAGCTAAGAAAAAAACTGTGCTCAAACTGTGTTTCTCTCAAAATACTGAAGACAAACTTAAAATGTCCCGCCGTTCTAATTCTTTGCATGACTGTGACCTTGTCTTCAAGCCCTGAAATACTCAGTAATTCAAGCTAGCAGTAGCTCCAAGAGAAAAAATAAAGACCAAAACAAGAATACATTAATTCAATTGACATTTAGGTCAGTACAATCTTTGCTTCACTCAGAAGAAACCAATTTAAAGTCCAAGAAAGCAATAAACTTGAGTGGCAAAAGGCAGCTCCAAGCTAGCTCCCTGAAAGGAAAGAGAGAAATCTTTGCACTATAGTTCTTCTTTCTTCTCATTTCAAGAAATAGATGAAGGACAGAGACACTTGTAAAATTATTATTTATTTTTCACACTGTAGGTATCATCATCTGATGTTGCAGCATTGTCACCACTAGCACTTTTTTTGTTCTTGCTCCTGTCCTTAAATGGCCTAAGTAAGTTATCTTCTGCTATTGAGTGACCACATATAATTTACATAGATCACAACTTTGCACCTGAAACTCATTTTCATAAGCAAAATCAGGAAGCTGCTAACTTACATTTTGCTTTGTTTCTTCACAGGTTAATTTGCCTTAACTGGAGACAGCTCACCCATCCTGATATGGTACCTGCATGAATAGAAGAAAAGTAATGAAAGAATTCCTGTGGTTTGGGTCAGTAAATAAAACAGAAAGTCTTTCTGGCGGTTGTGGTTTCTGCACTTAACAATGTGCTGTCTATCCTTGCTATTACAGATCTTAGTTGAGTCTTATATAAACTAAACTCTATTCCTCAAAGGTACGTATACATACTTTCCTTCAGTTAAATGGCTGTGAAGATGGTGGAATTCACAGAACATTTTGGCGTGTAACCAAAACATGTGGCGTTATGTCCAAAGAAGATCTGGCCAGGTACTGTAATTAGATTGCGGATTTTGAGCTGTCACACGCAATTATTTCTGGCAGCACATTTGTACAATATGTACACCTGTAACTTTCTGCATTCCTAAATGGTTGGAAGCATTCAGAAACTCCTTTCAGAAGAGATTGTTTCTGAGAGATCTCCTGGTGAGAGAACAGCTGAAGACTATGGGAATGACCATTAAAGTGTGGCATGAATATTTGCATTTTGGATTCCTGGAACAAAACCCGTTTCACTGGGAGTTCAAACCATTGCAAATCTTACCTGAATTATTTCTACTATTTCCTTAGAGTGGATGATCAATTTTATTTTCATTCTAGTTAATTATTCCCAGACAACTTTTATTCAGAATGATAGATGAACATACAAACAGGAACTCCTGTTTATTTTCTTGCAAAATCAGTCAGTAGTCACCAAACATGACACTGCAAACCTACTCATAAAGGGTATGTAAAGTAAAGCTTTGAGCAGATTTTCCTACTACAATGAAGCAAACAGTCTCAGTTTTCTGTGTGCTAGAATTCTAATATGGTAAAAATAAAGACACTGAATAAAATGTCTACATAAGCTAATTTTGCAGAAATAGGCAAGAGATATTGAACAAAGTGAGAAGAAAGCAAATGGATTCTTAAGAAAATTTTAAATGCAACAGCTAAAGTCACACAAGTGCAGTGGAATTCCTTTGAGTATGGATATTTGAAGCAACATGCTCCTTCAAAAAGTTAGAGACTCATGTAGAAAGCATGCAGCGATAGAAAGGCATTCAGTGTCTAGAGGTAAAACTGGAAAAAGAAAATTATTAATGGAAACTTAATGGTCTTTCAGAGTCCAGGAGAACGTCAGCAAGTTTCCATACATTACAAAACCTCAATGTCTGTAGAAGGGCTAAATTGTAATATTCATAATAGCAGCCAATAACACCCACAGTCCACTATTATCAAGGACAGGGAAATTAAAGTTTACATCAAAGAAATTAAAACCCTACATTTTAAATCTTCGTCTTAAGATTTAGTTTCCTTAATGCATATTTAAGCACTTTAAAAACAACAGCCTGGGCTCTAAACCTCCAAATACCTACATCTCCCAGTGACCTTGCCTGGACTTGGATGTACTGAACAATTAGAAAGTGAAGTTGATGAAGACACCCAGACATTGATCTGATGTTAAAGTTTACTGAAGTTCTACTTCTTGAACTAGCAGAACCAACATTTAAATAAAAATTAAAATTAAAATTAAAAAAAAAAAACAGGAAAAGAGAGAGAGAGAGACGGAAAGGCCAGATTCCACCGAACCAAGGTTTGCATTTCATGATTGTAGTCACCAACTATCCTTCCAATGAATGAATAGTTGATATGCTAGAGATTGCCATCCATTGAAAACTTTGTAAAGACAAACATTTTATTCTTTGAAAAAGAAGTGATGAAAAATGAAACTGCTCTTCTTAGTGCAGAAAAGAAAAAAAAAAATCTACATCAAAAATGTTGGAAACAATTCAAACAAAGAATGCATTATGCTGAGGGACATGAATCAATGTACATTCTGCAAAAAAAAAAAACTTAGATAATAGAAGACGCTATGGGATTCTGACAATTGAGCCTTTGTTTCCAAAGCAAGAAAAATCAACTCGGATTTACATTTTTGAATGGGTTTGTTTGATCTGAGTGCAGGGGCAATAACTGTCATCAAGAATACATGAGACCTCTAATATTAGCTGACAGGTTTTACTCCTAGATAAGATTTCTAACTAAAAGAACAGCATCAAATCACAAAATTGAAATGCAAAATAATTAGATTGATCTACAAAATACCTACGTATATATTTAATTCAGAGGACGTGCTCAGTTTTGCTAAACACTTCACTAGGTTACATCTTATTTCAAATGTAAATATGTCAATGTTACTAACATTTCTCCTAAGGAAGACTAGAAAGCAGGGAAGATAAAAAGTCTTACTCAAAGACAACATGTCATATTTCATCTTCTTAGTAAAGTCTTCATGATATTGTAGGAAGTTCTTATTCTATTGCACTGAACCCCAGCTCTACTAGCACTACCTATTCAAAGTTTTATGGCTGCAGTTCTACCTTTTCCTTATCTTTTCCAGTGATGAATCCTTATGTGTCACTCCCACTTCTCTGCTTCAAACAGAGCACAAACACCATAAAAAGTAGTTGCTTGTCTCAATCCTGGAAACCTGGAACAGGTTAAAATGTACACAGCAGGACTGGAGGCAATCAGATACTGCAAAATCTGAGGCCCAGACTTAGGAAAACATTTAAACTAATGATGGCTTTAAAAATGCTAAGATTAGGTATATCTAGAAGTATTGCTTTCATGAATAGCAACACAATGGGGCAACTGAGACTGAGGTCTGCTAAGTGCTGACAGTAGCACTGAATATTTGCCTCTTGCTGATTTACTGTACCAGGTTTTTTTACAGCTGCTATCGTCAGAAAAGATTTCAGCAAACCTTAAAAGTTTCAGAATTACAAATCAGGTTTGGGTAGGAATTCAGACCTTGCTACAACAAATAATTTCAAATCTCTGGTTTATAAATCATGGATTCACTACTGTTAGCAGTTCACGAGATCTAAAGAGCTTTCTGAATTTAAGGTGATGGGGTTGGAAATTGGAGGGTAGATATCCATCTACCCTACTTGGAGACTGTATTTTTGACAAATAAAGGTTTGCACTACACATTGCTTTTGGGTTTTTCACTTCCAATTTCTTGAGTGAGAAGCAGCTGTGAGCAGAAATCATATATTAACATATTAACAGAAAGCCTATTAACAAAGCTCTGGCTGCACACAGAGTACAGAAATGAGCCAGGCACCTCCATGCTGGGTAGAAGTTTGCCTCTGCTCCACATTCATATGAAAAAACGACATCTTCTCACGGGAGAATACAGGAAACTAATGAACCAAAGCACCAACTTTTTTGTTACTGTTGAGCTTCTGCTCACAAACGTTCTGCATCTGCCCTCCAGAGAACTCAAATGGTCAGCAGAGTAAGGCAGCAATCCTGGCCCTGTCCTTTTTCTGCTGTGTCACAAGAAGCAACTACACCTATGATAACAACATGGAACTTCCTTAGGCCTACAAGCAGAAGAGTGAAGGGAAAGAGCTCTAATTCAGAGACGTTCTGCCTTCTTCACGACAAAGGTAAAACACTCATCAGACAACCTGGGAAATCTTGCAGGCTGGCATTGCTGAACTGAGCTGGCTACTTTGGTTCCATAGGGCTGATCTGATCAAATTGAGGATTATATTTGCATAGGGAGGGGAGTGGAGATACAGTCTGCATTTAAAACTTTTGCCAACATCAGCAGCTTGAATGAGAGGATGCAGTTTTGGTAGGTGTAACTATAACAGTAAAATTCCTGTGTACCTCAGGCATGGAAATCTAACTGCTGTTATATAGTGTTACTGGTCCAAATACTTTTCTTTAAGGGGTAGTTTTGTTTCCCAGTCTTACTGGTTTATAGTAATGCTGACAAACTTCAGAGAGAGAGACAATCCATTCTGAATCGAAACAAAGAAATAAAACTGTACTTGGAGGTGAGTGTTCTTACACAGACCGATCAATTTTGGCCTTTCTTGGGCTGAAAAAAAGGAAAACTATCTACTGGATCTTCAGCTAAATGTGTCCTCCCCCCTTCGTCCCAGCCTTTTTTCTGGAAGTCATGCACTCACCAAAAGAAGCTGCAGAGGCAACATGCTAACATTTGTTTACTGTGGATCTCCCTTTGAAGAGTGATTACAACAACATCATTCTACATATCCGGAGGGTGGATTTCTTATCTCCCTGAAAGAGAAGGAGAACAATCACATATTTGATAAGTTCAAACAAAAGCGCACACAATTATAGGAAGTGAAATGTTTGCTGAAAGAGGGCAGTTTATACAAAACCCATTTTTATAACGTCGTATATGTATTTATTTCATGACAGCTTTCAAGATCAGCTTTCCATAACTCCGCAGTATCTCTGTTTTGTGGAGTCTTTTCCATTTGAAAATTGACACTCAAGGGGAAACATTCTCAGAACAGAGTCATTACAAGAACTACTGAGTGGCTTTCGCTGCCATCCACCCTGCACTCCAAGGGAATGAGGCATACATAAATCCATATAGGCTGCCTTTCCACCTGCAGGAACAGCTGTGAGAGGTGTGTGTCAGGAGGGGCACTCACTTCCATGGCAGCTCCCACATGGATCTGTAGTTCTGTAGGGAGGCTCTGCTTCTCCCAGGTTCCTGCTCTGCCCTCCTCTACTGCCCCATAGCCGCAAGTGTGGCAAAGAGTAAAAGTTCCAGACAGTCCATTGTGTTCTGGAGGATGAATTCTCCTGACAGAACGGGTCTCTTCTTCTCCATGAGGTCATCAGCTGTAAGACCAGATCAGTGTCTCACATTCTAAAATGACACTTGATGTGTAATTTATTACATCTGTAAAGCTCTTTATATCCTTAGAAATAAGGCAAGACGGAAGTAAATGATAAATCAGCCATTCACATATATGAATATAGAATCATAAAGGTTTGAAAAGACCACTATGTTCATCTAGTCTGTTGACCCATCACCAGCGTGAGCACTAAAACATATCCCTATACAACAGGAAATTGTGAAGTGAGCAGTGAATGCAGGTGTACAGCACCAGCAGTGAAAAATGGGAACATTTTTCTTGAAAGCCAGACATGACGTGCAGAACAACAGAAAAGCAGATTGAGCAGATGCTTCATCTGTTTGGATCGACACTCAAACTGTCAAGTATTGGAAAAAAGATCAAAATGAAAACTTCAGGCCACTACATTTCCAGAAAAGACTGCTGTTATTTGCCATCTCTGATCAGGTCAGAGAATTATAAAACTTTTACAGCTGAAAGCGTTGAATAAGTATTAAATAGACCAATATAGATCTCATACAGACTCCACTTAATGTTTCTTTTGGAAAACTTGATAAAGCATATAATATCTAAAAACATTAAATATAATGAGAAACTTTTTGGAACCAGTAAACTTTTTGCAAAGGTCAGCCTTTCAGCTGTTATATTTGAACCAAATGAGACTTAATTTGACTGTTAATTCTATCACCCAACTGTCAGAAAAATCTATGAAGTGTTCTGAATTTATTTTTCAAGGCAGTTCTCCAGCCTGAAAATGCAGATTCCAGAGTGTGTAAGAAACAGTTTCAGGACCAAATTGTGACATTTCTATGCAAATAATGCTAATAAAGTCAGAGATATGCATAATTAGTGCATCTTAGTACCACATTTATACCACTGTCACAGTTTAGGAGACTACAGCTAAATGTATTTGGAATGAAGAATAAGCTAACTACCTAGGGCTTACTTGGACCTGTATAACTGTAGATCTGCAGTGAAGGTTTGCTGCACTTGGTACATAGCAAAGAAAAAGGCTGATAACTTCAACTGTTCAGTAAACACAAAAAGAATGTTTACTGCAACCTTTGCTCAGTGCTCAATATCACTGCCCTCTTATTTCTCTGCAGGACTTACACCCTTTCAGACTGAACACTAGCCCTATGTCCTGTCCAACACATAATGCATAGGAGATGGTGAAGTTAACCTGAGGATCCTGGCCAGCTTCTCTATCAGGAAATAACTCTGTAATATGGTCTCCTGAAATGTTCCCCATGCTTTCTGATGTTCTATTCTGTCAGCCTTTTGCTGCCCCAGGAAAAAACAGGGCTGCTGTTTCATGTAAAGGTATCTTATGTATATAAATCTTTTGTATCATTTATAATGAAAGACTTACACAATAAGACTCAATATACATGGTATTATCGTTTTACTGCTGTAAAGGAATAGTTCAGAGAAAAGTTTTATTGATAAAAACCTCAGCAGAACTAGTATATATTTAAAATAAGGCTTCCAATCTTGCAAGTGCTGCTTACTTAAAAGTGTAACTACACATAGTTTTACATAGTGAATATATGCTTAGAACAAAGTATGCAAGAAGAGTTTGAAAGTGTATTAAGATTTCTGTAAATAGAAATAGGAATTGCCTCCTTCCTACTTGGAAATATAAATCATTCATTACAATCTGTGTTTACCATTCACAGCATTGGTGGGAGAATTACCTTAGTGTTACATCACAGGAAAATAATAGATTTCAGCAGCTTTGTGATTGACTGTAAAGATTCACATGCACAAGAAAAATGTCCTCACACGTCCATGGAAGACTCAAAAAGTGAAGATATATGTTGCATTTTAAGGCAATTCTTTTTCAAGTCAAGCACATCTACCTGAAACAGAGGTACCTTTCTTTACTAATTTATGCGGCGTGACTGGGAAAATAGTGCACAGAAATGTATTTTCCTTCCTGTACACTTACATTGATTTTTGTCTCTCAGCATACATAGATCCAAACAGTATTTTCACTTTCAAGTGTTCAAAGTTAATTATTTATTTTTGGTTTCCCTTAAATAAGTAAAGATACTTCTGCTTTTCCCAGAAAGGATAAAAAATTATCTGTGGTTAACTTCTGATATGCAAGACTCTGCAATCCCCCTCTGCAGGCAAATGTATCAACTACTTCTGCAATATTTAGTTGAATGGAGTTTTGAAGAGAACAGAAGCCATCAAACTCACCCAGAAATTACATATGCTCTTTAATTCCTTAGAAAGGTTTCCAGCAACAGGAGCTTAGCATTGAAGAGGCTGTTAGAAAAAATTAAGGGACAGAAAGTGTCATCTGGTAAACACCCAAGCAAAAGCAAAAGCAGAGACACAAACATGAAAGAGATCACAGATATCCTACTATTTATGATGTGATAGTAAAGTGTAAAGTGTACCGGGATCTTAAAGCAATACATGTTAATTACCCACAGCAGATCTGTGATGTTATAAAAGTAATTGCTATGAACTTTTCTATATTGCTGATAACTACACTTATCACAGTTTGGTTTGTTTGTTTTAAATTGCAACAGGAACAGGAACTTGCAACAATATAATTCTGTAGGAATATATCCATTTTTTAAAGTATAAAACATTGGAATATATCCAATAAGCCTTTAGCTCTGCTCAACAAAAGCAAAAGCAATCTTGCCAGGGCAAAAGTCCACAAATGTACGTGTTCTAAAATGCTACCAGAAAAGTTTTTCATCTAAGCCTCCAGAATAGCAAGAATGAGCTGATAGTCCATCATCAAAAGCAGTTAAGCCAGTAAAATGCAGATAAAAACAAATCACAAGCATTGTTTTTGTGCTTATAAGCCAGCTCTCAGCTGCAGAGATGAGAATAACCACTTCAGAATTTCTATACTCCAGACAGGCAAAAATTTGTGCTGTGCACCAATGAGTACCCAAAGCATACCCTTGTTCCCCATGTGCTCAGGAGTAGGCCGAAAACCCTTCCATCCCTGCAGGAGTTTTAGTTTGGAGGTGGTTAAAATCTGTCTGGCTCCAAAGACTTACCAATTTTTCCTAACATAACAAACTCCTGAACATATGCAAAAATCAGGGTGTCAATAATAATTAAAAAGTCTTATCGTGCTTTCCAGAGAGCGCTGAAATACAGAGTTGATAGACTTCAGTATTATGCAAATAAAGAATGAAAATGAATGAAAATGAAAGCTTTGGAAAACAACAATAGTTTAGAAAGTAAAGTGAGTTATTAATTTCAAGGTAAAACTTCACCATTAACTGTTGTCCATTATCTATCAGATTGTCCTGTGACCACCTATCTAGCAATCCTACAGCAAAGACAAAATGCATTTCTATTACTGCTAGGTTTCTACAGAGGCATTTTATGAATTCTCTGGATGACTTGGGAAACCTGGGCTTTTTTTCATTATCTGGCAGCTATTACTTCATCACATCCTACATACATGTTTCAGAAGGGTAGAAGAAGTAACAGAAATGGATTTGGGAAATACCTTAAAAAAAAAGAGAGAGAGAGAGAAGAAGCATATGCTAGCATTAACACATTGGTACATCCTAGTTAGACTAAAAAAAATGGTACAGGAGTTATATTTAAAACTTCTCACTGAAGAAAAAGAAGAAGCAAATCAACTTTAGTTATACTACAGGCAGGAGTGCCATGCACTTCTGAGTTTAAACCTCAACATAGAAGCATAGAACTTTTAGCTGTACAAGGAGCAGATATCAAAAGATCTTTGTGTGCAGAGCTACATAAATTGAAATCAAACACAGAACCAGTGTCTTCAATGTTGGTTTAAACAAGACAAGTTTGTGACAGTTCAGCCTGAGAAAGTCTAGGTGACCCAGTTTCAAACAAAACAATTTATGAGAATAAGGAAAATACAACAGATATCCAGGGCTGACGGACAAACAACCACATCCAGAAGGAAGGATTCCCCAAACAGTCCTGCCACACAAGCAGTTCTACTAACCAGAAAAGGACATCACATTCTTCTTTGCACATGCAATTAAATTGTATGAATCTAAGGAGATAGTATTGCTTTTAAACAATGAAGTCAGCCAATAAATCTTTCTGTTGTCTAATGCTTCTAGGACTGTAACCTCAGTTCATGCCTCTAAATAAGTGAGGATGTTAATCATGGACTCCTGTGAGGTTTAGAGTCAATAATAGTCCTTCCACGGGGTAATTCTGCCGATTTCACTCACGTTACTTTTAGCTTACTCTGGCTTGAGAGGAATACCCCCTACAACCATCAGTGTGAACAGCAATCTGCTTATGGACTCTCAAACACTTGCTGGCCCCTAGCCACAACCACAAGTAACACAAGTCTCAGAGGCAAACACAGCTCCACTTCTTCTGCCACTCATCGTGAGAAGAAAATTGTTTCTAACATATTTAACAACTACACAAGTTCCATTCCATTAATTAATTCACCTATAATATTCAATTCGCTTCTTGTTATCCCTCTTTAATTAAAGCAAATCATGTTCTGCTGTCAAACAAATGAACCCATTTGAACACTCAGCCATGTGCTTTTCTACTTGTTAATAGCTACACCATGGGGCTGTATGGGACTGCAGCACCCTCAGGATTCCTAAGAAAGCTATGAGTCATCCCATGTTCACTCACAGGAGAGCCGTATGGCTGGGTTATTACTGCCACCTAGTTTTCAATTTTCATTATCTAGATTTTTGCATTTTCTGTGATAGAAAGTATTTGCACACCGTCAGAAAACATTGATTTTAGTCATATCTGATATGTATCTTGTGATGTTTAAACAGCACAAACTCATGCAAGGATGAGCCGTTAACGAATGAACCCACATGTATCTAGATGCAATCACTCCTCATATATATTGAAGGGAAGAATACATAATTCCCAATCTCAAAGGTACGCATCTCCTGAAAACCCAAATCACAACTTTGCTATGCAGGGTCAAAAAAAACCCTTCTTAGCAGCACTGAGGAAGTTTTCTAAAATGTGCTCATAGGTCTA